TATATATGTGTGTGTGTGTGTGTGTGTGTGTGTGTGTGTGCAGAACTTAGCCTTGGCGGCTGATTAGTCGGAGATTAATCGTTTGACGGTCTGCAACCGATTGCAATTAGGGTGTTTGGCGAAAATTGGCACTCCTAGGCTGGAAAATTTTTAAAATTTCAAAATTTCAAATTTTCATATAAAAATTTTCAAAATTTTAAAATTTTAAAATTTTAAATATTCAAATTTTTAAATATTATACCAAATATTTAAACATTTAAAATTTTAAAATTTCAAAATTTCAAATACAAATTTTTCTTAGAATATATAAAATTTTAAAATGATTTTATTAGTAATTTAGGGTCCCCGGTTAATCTCCGATTAATCCCCGCCAAAATGACTAATCGTTTGACTCCAGTCGACCGTCCGAGCTACCGTTGAACGATTTTTACCACCTACTATATATAATGATAATGAATAGTAAGTAGGTAGTGCTTAATTTATTAAGGGGAACGTACGTATCCCAATGATGGATCCGGATGCGATTTCTAATTCTGATATTGATTGTTGAGTGCAGGTACGATTCAGAGATGCCTGTTGTACTAATCCAAGGTCTAGTTTACCTAGGAATTATAGCAATCACCCATTCGGCACGCCCAAGCTGGCTTAGCAAGTTATGGTATCGTGGTGGTGGAGATAAGAATATGATGATAAGCATAATCATAATCCAGAGTAGAAGCTTGATTATTATAAAAGCGGTGGTGATGTTGTCAATTACGATGACATCATACCTGGTCCCATTTTTGGTAATCCCTCATACGATCCATCCAATTATAGGGTGGGGGACATACTTACTAGGGTCGTTTGCTCTCTCATGTATAGCCATCAAGATGTTTCTTCTTCCGGTGGTACCTGTGTTGACCCCTTGGGTAGGGATAATTGGTGTTCTTTTGGTCATGGCTTGCCCCTGGTATAATGATGGTGTTGTGAGGGCATTGTTTGTTTTTGCATATGCTTTTTGTGCTGCACCAGTTTTGTGGATTTCTTTAGGGAAAATTGTATCATCACGCCACACTATTTCACTTGAAAGGGAAGGTTTCTTGCCGAGTAGACTCGTTGACCCAACTCAGCCTTCTGATCCTTTTAATAAATTATATTGATAACTTAATACAAATAAACATACGTAGATTAGAAAGAAAAAAAAAAAAAGTCAGAGTTGTGATCATACTTTATTCAAGCAGTCAAGCCTCTTTATAGAAAGGGGATTTTTGCTTTTGTGTCATGTAGACTTTTGGATGAATGCAAACATTTTTGAAACATATATAGAGGACGTGAATGGAAAATGTTGAGCTGAGTTTGGGTACATACTTGTAATTAAAGTACAAAAGCTAATTCGAATGGAAAGTTTATCACATTTAGAACACATACATGTTCAAAAAAATTAAAACCTTGAAAGTTGCATCCATGCAACATGCATGGGAAGTGAATTTTCAATGATTGAAGTATATTTAAAGAAGATAAAGAGAAAGAGAAAGATGTCAAAGACAACAAAGATGCAGAATTTATAACAACTCTTAATAGTGATGCTCAGTAGCTAGAATCAAGTTTTCCAATATATAATGTGTAGGCATAATTTTACAAGTTAATTAATGACCGTATATTTTTCAAAAATGAGAAAATGTCAAGTTAAAACATGCATATATAAAACACAAGCGATCGAAGGTGTATGCTTTCATCACATTATGCAGCAGTTTTCTTGGGAAGCAAGCATTTATAGTGATATGCAATTTATAGTACAATGCAACTAACTCAGCAACATACAAAGAATCCGTAACGTACCAAAAATTACAAAGAGATTTTTGTTTTATAAATAGATCGACCAATTAAAACATTTATGTCAAAACCATTAAATAACATTTATTTGATTAAAAACCCTACGTTATCAAAGTTAAATTACAAAACCGTGGAAACAAAATATCTTTGATGCGTTTATACAATCTCGCCAAGCTCTTCTTACGAATAACCTGGAAAAACATTTAATCCACAACTATAAGCATAAAGTTTAGTGAATTTCCCCAGTATATGTCACAACTAGGAATTCTGATACGCTGTAAACGCTAAACAAAGAGTGACATTGTAGTTAAACTTGAAAACATGTATTGTGTTAAATCAATGACAAAAAAATTCCTATACAAGCATTCAAATAGTCAACAAAGATTGGAAACCCTAAAAATCCGGATTTAAGTTCATTTTTGGATTAGGATTTTTTTATTGGGCCTAATGGACCAATAAGCTTCCAATTTGACTATTTTGGACTTAGAACTCTTAAATGGGCCC